GGGTTGGGGCTTGGGATGTGTTGGGGCTTGGGGTGGATTGGGGCTGGAAGGGTTTGGGAAAGGGTTGGGGATGGGTTGGGGGCTGGAAGAGGTGTTTGGCGGGTGAGGGTTGGGAAGGGTCGGAAGTTATGAACCTATTCGAAAAAAAATTTGGCGGGCTCGTAAGTGGGTACCATGCTTATCCGGGGGCTGGGTTTAAGCTCATTAATACCTACTTGAACTGGGGACATCCCTTTAAAATTTCAGCCTCCAAGCATCTCTGGTTCCAGCAGTAAAAAACTTTGGCGGGCTCTTGCGTGGATACCACGTGGGTTATGGCGCCCATTTCGGGGTTGAGGCCCCAATTTCGTGCATGTAGATCATGTTCCCAAAGTCTTAGCCCTGTAGCTTTTGTAAATCTTGAGATGAAAAAGCGGGACAGGTGCACACACACACGCAGACAATCCCTCGTCAGTATGCGTTTTCTGCATGGCATAGCTGCAAAAAACGCATAAAAAACATGCGTGATGTCAGTAGATAGGGGCATACGGTCTCCCCTAAAACCATTTTTGGGAACCATTTGAAGTTGGCAAGAAGTTCTATTTTTTCAGTTCTCACGTGAAATTATGAGTGCAAGAGTGCGAACAAAAATGAAGCAAGTGTATGGAACGCCTGGTATGTTCTGATTGCAAAGCTTATGCAGCACTAAATAGAGTCCCCAGTGTACGCGGGAGAAATGCATGCAGTCTTGAATGCGGTAAATCAGAGAAGCTATGGCATTATCACCCAGGGTTTTTTGAGGGAAATGAGACATTCAAAAAATTTTGAAGGAGTACTTTATTGATTTTTTAAGGGAATATATTATAATTTCTTAATATACTGGATCAATTGACATGATTATCGTGACAAATGTCAATTTAGAATAAAAGAGAATTTTTTTGCATTTTTTGTGGAAGAAGAATTCTTTTCCTCTAGCCTTTTTGCTATAAAAAGAAAAAATAAATCAGGGAAAAGGCAATTTCTGCCAAAAAACGGCTACTGCATTCGGAATGAATTTTAAATGAACAAAACTAGCTGTAGTGTTCATTTTATGAGCTGAAATCCTGCTTGTACTCCAGATAAAGTAGACCTTTTCGTTGGTGGCCTATTAGAGGATCCAGTTCTGCGTGGCTTTGTTGGACCGACATTTGCGTGTGTTATTGGGCCACAGTTTCAAAGGATACGAGATGGTGACAGGTATTTAATTTTCATAAAATTTCGGAATATTTTCGATTTTTTTTTTTTTTGAAAAGCATTGGCCCTAGAACGCGTTCACTCTTCGAGCCCTGGAAAATATCGCACTAAGAAACATATAAAGATTTCTTATGA